GATTGCCTTTCTGCTACTAAAATTAATATTTAGCGATAAAACTAGCAACGAAACACAAATTCGTCCCTTTGCTTACGAAGTTTAAGTTATATTGACGAATATTAGCGACGGGTGATATATTCGTTTCTAAGTTAAATATTTAGCCATGAGTGTAGCGACAGATGTGGGTTCGTGGCTAAAACAAATCTTTTAGCAACGAAAATTAGCGAGAGATAACAAATTTGTTTCTAAAATAATTATTTAGCAACAATTTAAAGAAAATAGAAGTAATAAAAAAACTCGACCCCTTTTCATTTTTTTCATTTCGCCCCACTTCAAAACCTTTCCTTCTCCCTTTTTGCCCTAGCCGAGCCAAACCTCAAACTTATTTCCCTCTCATCGTCCAAAACCTAGTTAACATGTATCAACAAATCAAAGAAATTCCCATTGGAATTTTTATCATTGCTGCCTTTGGAAAATAGGCCCTCCGATTGCCGGCCCAAAAATCTGTCAGAGTTGTAGTAAACCCTAGTCGATTGAGAGCAACGGTAACATCTGCTACTGCACATCATTTACGGTAATCTCTTTATTTCTTTCTTGTTCCAATTTTTAGATGTTTGTGAAGCGTGTTTAGAAGAAGTAAGAAGATCCGATAATATGTGGGTATGCAATTGCATTTCTTTGATGTATTGGGATTTGGGAGAAATATCTATATTCCATTGTAGGTTATTTACCCAGTGATATTTCGAGAGATCAAAACGAGGAGAACAAAGCAACAATTTAGTACACTGAGATTTGAGAGAACAGAAGGTTTGTTTATTTGTACAATATATATGTTTTATTTTTTTTATTTTTTTACTTAGGTTGTTTTATGTATCAATTATGTGCAGAAAAGTACAGGTCTAATTGCCTCCATATGGTTTAAGCCACTCTATATCTGCAACTTAGTTTACTATTAAGCAATGGATTTTTCGTTTTTTTACTGAAAGTTCATAATCTTGCAGTTTCGTCGACTCACCCTTTCTTGCAAATTAGTCTCTCTGTTTCATGTGGTATGTTCTTAAATAGCCTTTATTAATTGATTTAATTCAACATTGAAACTATTGTCAACTATTCAAAGTTGCTGAGAATTGTTCGTCTTGATGGCAGATATTTTCGTTTTCAACCACAGAATCAGCAAGACACAAATTACACCAATTTAGAGAAGGAAGTAAATTGATGATTGGGAGTTTATCACTCTGTAGAATAAGGTAGTATCATTTATCAAGTAGATAAATGCCTTTCCCAGCCACACAATAGAAAATAAATAAAATTGTAAGTTGTTTTTACTATTAACATGCTACTAATATAGTATTATTATAGATATCATCTACTTTTCTTCATTTCATTTTTCATAAGAATGTCACAGGGCATCATATGCTTGAAATTGATTGGTGATGTGGTTTGCTTCTGGACATGTGCATATGCTGGAAATGTTTACTATATAGAGACAACATGCTCCTTATTGAAGGTTTACAGTTTTTATAAAATTATCTACCTTATTTTGGTCATATCAAATTTTAGTTTTGCTTATTGGTTCTTCTATGTTTGCAGTCAAGACAAGTGGCCAAAGATCCAGCCATATGTGAAAATCAAACACGAGACATTGATTTTACTCTAACAGATTGCTCGATTTTCTCAATTATAAGCTCTATTAATCTTTTTTTCTTCATATTATCTATTTCTCTAATATCTAGCTGATATCTCGTGAATTTTCTTCTATTTTGCTAGATGGCAGCCATTCAGTAGCATGATCTTTAAACATTAATGGGAGGAAAGTCTGAATAAAGATTCAAGTTAGGTTTGCTCTTCTCACTTCTCAATTTTGTTTTATCTTTTCTCTAACATTTGTTTCTCCTTCTCCTGGTAATATAAATTTTCTACAGCAAATCCTACATTTGAAGGTAAATATTCTACCTAACTAGTCATTAGTATCTAAGTTGTCTTCTTAGGTTAAGTCGTTATTTGACTAATTACATTTATGTTGTCTTTCTATTATGATATAGCAAGCTAGACTTTTTAGGATGGGATTCAAGTGAAAGCATGAAGATCAAGCCCAAGGATCTCATGAGAGATCATTACATTCGAAAGTATATATGAATGACTATGTTGCAGGCTTTTGAAAACTACTATTAGCATCTGTAATTCAAGTTTATAATATTGTCCTGATTTTGTATGTATGATACTTTTATTGGTATATAATATATTAATTGGTATTAACTTATGGCATTGATACGTGTAGTGTGTGTATATATATATATATATATATATATATATATATATATATAATATATATTATTTTTTTTTAAATTCAATGCAATTTTTGCTACGGATTTATCGACGGCATTATACCTATCTAAAATTAGTGACAAATGTGGCAACAGGTTGTTTTACTGCTATGATAGCGATGGATTTAGAGTGGTTTTATTCTATTGCTATAATAGAGACGGATTTAGCCATAGACTATTCTATCGCTAACAATTAGTTACGGATGCTCATTTGTCGTAGCTAAATTTTAGCGACGCGGCTTTTATCGACGGCCCTGGTGACGGGCTTAATCCATCGCTAATCAACATTTTGCGACGGTTTTGTAATAATTTGCAACGAATTCGTCCGTAGCTAATATGCGATTTTCTAGTAGTGCTCGTAGTTCTCAAACTTGGATAACAGAGTGTGGGTGAGAGCCAAATATTTGGCCATGGTGTCTTCTTTGGCCTCGTAAGATCCGAGTACTTGGTTAACGACGAGCTGAGAATCGCTTTGGATTATGAGCTTACGCGCTCCGGCTGCTAAGGCGAGGCGGATTCCGGCTATCAATGCTTCATATTCAGCGACATTGTTTGAGGCTGTGAATTCAAATCGTTGAGCATATTCGAATTCATCTCCGTTGGGGTTCGTTAGTACGATACCCGCGCCACCTCTTGTGGCTGTGGAAGATCCATCAACGCTGACAGACCAAGCAGGGAGGGAGGTGCTCTCTTCTACTGAGGTCATTTCTACTAAGAAGTCAGCCAATACTTGCGCTTTGATAGCGGGGCGGGGTTTGAATTTTACCCCATATTCACTCAGCTCTACTGCCCATTTGGCTAACCACCCGGATGTCTCGGGACTCCTTAGTATCTGCTTCAGGGGGTTATTGGTGAGAACCACCACTTGATGTGATTGGATGTAAGGTCGGAGCTTCCGAGCTGCATTAATGAGGGTGAGAGCGAGCTTCTCCATATTAGTATAGCGTTGTTTGGCTCCTTGGAGGGCACGAGTTATGTAATATATGGGTTGGTGACCTTTTCCTCCATCTCGGATGAGGATTGCGCTGATGGCATCAGCTGAGGTAGCTGAGGTTTTGTAAGCAAGAGTGGTGATGCAAGATATGACTTCAGCTCGATGAATGCCTTTTGACATGTTTCATCCCATTCAAACTTTTGTTCTCCCCTTAAAATCTTGAAGAAGGGGAGAGCCCTGTCTGCTGATCTTGAAATGAATCTATTCAAAGACGCCAAACAGCCGTTAAGCTGTTGGACTTTCTTGATAGATGTTGGTGGAGCCATGGAGGTGATGGCTTCGATTTTCGCGGGATTAGCTTCGATTCCCCGCTGCGAAATCATATATCCAAAAAAATTGCCTCCCCGAACTCCGAACGAACATTTGAGGGGGTTGAGTTTCATCTTATATTTTTGCATGGTGGTGAAACACTGATCCAAATCGGTTAAATGGTCCGAGACCTTGACACTTTTGACGAGCATGTCGTCGATGTACACCTCCATATTCTTGCCGATTTGATCTGCGAACATTGCGTTCACTAGACGTTGGTAAGTGGCTCCCGCATTTTTTAACCCGAAAGGCATGACTTGATAGCAGTAGATGCCTTGGTGTGTGACGAAGCTGGCCCTCTCTTGATCTTCTGGGGCGAGTAAGATTTGATTGTATCCTTGATATGCGTCAAGGAAACTGAGGAGCTCGCATCCCGAGGTCGAATCGATGAGTTGGTCGATTCTCGGTAAAGGAAAGGGGTCCTTCGGACAAGCTTTGTTAAGGTCAGTAAAGTCCACGCATAACCTCCACTTGCCCCCGGGCTTGGGAATGAGTACTACGTTCGACAACCATTTAGGATACTGAACTGGTCGTATATGACATGCCTCTAGAAGTTTTGCCACTTCCGCCTTGATGTGCTTGTTGCGTTCGGGACCAAATGTTCGCTTCCTTTGTTTGATCGGTTTCAACCTTTTGTCGACGTTGAGCCGATGTAGAGCTACCTGAGGGGGAATGCCCGACAAATCTTGAGCTTTTTCAAGCGAATACATCTCCATTGTGTCGCAGAAATTTGACTATTTGATTCTCCATCTCTGGATGTAAATCGGATCCGATGCGTAGGAGCTTGGAATCATCTCCAGGTGTGAGCTCTATAAGCTTAAGCTCTTCGACGGCCGCTAGCTTGATGCTATCGTCGGGTACACTGATGAGGATTGCTTTATCGTCCTCAATGATCGCGTTGACCCATTTCCATTTGTCGGGTTTTTGGGTGTCGTCTCCCCTTCCGGACGGTTTAGGCTTCTTGGATGGTTCTCGTAGGGCTCTTGCATAGCATTCTCGGGCGAGAAGTCTATCTCCAAGTACTTCCCCCATTCCATAAGAGCAACTCCAATGGTAAAGTATCAAAATCGATCATCAAATATTAATTTGATACTAGTTTTATTATTTTGATACTCATTTACTCCAACCGCAAGCATTAAATGAATCATCTAATTTTAAATATAAGCATAAATATATTTAATATTGACACGTGTCAATTTTTAATTGGTTTGTTGAGTAGTTAATGTTTTGATACCTCTTTTTCCAAGATGCATTTTTGCATCTCGAGAAGTTGAATATCAAAATAACTACCAATTTAATTCCCCCATTGGAGATGGAAATTTATGTTTTGGAGCATCAAAATAGAAGTTATTCCATGTAATTCCCCATTTAATTCCTCCACAGGAGTTGCTCTAAGGAGTGGGGAATTTCCACTTTTGATGGTAGGATGAAGGTACTGACTTGAATGTATGGATTGCTGGCCTCTCTAGGATGATGTTGTAGGGGGACGGCTTGTCGACGATGAGGAATTTGATTATCTTGGTAATTTGACAAGGGTTGTCCCCTAAGGAAATGGGCAACTCCACTTCTCCCATGGATAAAACGCCATCTCCCGTGAATCCTTTTAGGGGCGTGGAGATGGGGCTAAACTGGGCATTATCTATGCCCAGCTGCTTGAAAGCGTGGAGATACATGATGTCGGCTGAGCTTCCACCGTCCACTAATATCTTCTTAACCAAGAAGTTGGCCACCGATGCTGTGATTACCAATGCATCGATATGATCTTCATCTGGACCTTTAAGGTCCGAAGAGTTGAAGACTATGCTATGATCATATCTTCGTATCTGATAGATAGATGCGGATGGAGAGGCATGCTCTTGATTCATACGTGCTGATCGAGCGAGGGAGCGTCTCGCATTTTGTGAGTCGCCACCCGCCGGTCCTCCAGAGATAAAGGCAATGACTCCCCGGGTGGGTTGATTATCATTGTTATCTTGTTCTCGCCGATGACCTCCCTCCTCTCGTCGTTTCGGTTGATCTCGAATGTTATCTCGGCGTTGGAGATCATCACGACGCTTGTTTCGAGGCTTATCGATGTATTCGCCTAAGTGGCCCTGTTTGATCAACCTCTCAATGACTACTTTGAGTTGTGCACATTCCTCAGTAGTATGTCCTCTATCCTTATGGAATCAACAGTAGCGATCCGATTTTTCTCGTTTCACATTTGGCTGCATTGGGCGTGGAGGTTCTGCTAAACCTCTTTGTTCTATCACATGAAGGATTTCGGTGAGGCGAGTGTTTAGCGGAGTGAACCGATTGTAAGAGGAAGATGATTGTCCTTGAGGTGGGAGTGGTGGACGTCGATCATCCCGCCTCCTAACGTCCTGACGGTCATCTTCCCTCTTCATCTTGGGATGAGCATGGGTAGAGGCTTCCTCTATTTGTACGTATTTATCGGCTCGGTTCAGCAATTCCTCTAGGTTGTCTGGTGGCCTTCTTGCAATAGATTCTTTGAACCTACCCGGCTTCAAGTTTTGTTGCATGATCCCGGAGAGCATGTCTTGTCCTACGCTTGGGACTTCGTGGACGGCTTCTACAAAACGCTTGATGTAGTTGCGGAGCGCTTCGTTATCTCTCTGTACTACAGAGAAAATGTGGGCTGAGGTCTTGGCATACTGTTTGTTGATGGTGAATTGATTGGTGAAACGTGTTGACAATCGAGCGAAGGTGTCGATCGATCCTGTGGGTAGAGAGTTGAACCAATTCATAGCTCTCTTGGAGAGAGTGGTGCGGAACATTTTGCACATTGCAGCGTCCGTTGGGCCATACAAATCTGCCATGGCGTTAAATTTCTCTATGTGCTCTTGTGGGCCGGTGGTCCCTTCAAACTGAGGTAACCCCGAGATCTTCAATCCTTGAGGTAATACCTCGTTGAGGATGTCCATGGTGAAAGGACTGCGTCTTACTGGGGCGGGCATTCTTGCTGTCTGGGCTGTGCCCCCTTGTGACTGGTGGATAGCTGCACTCGGGACCGTGGGTTCGAGGTGGATGAGGAGACACTTATTTGGTTTTGGATCGGCGGTGGTGCCATGGTTGCACCACAGGTGGAGTTGGTGTTGGTATCGCATTGGGAGCATTTGCTCCCATCGTGGCGATATATTGGGTCACGGTCTCTGTGGCGGCACGAGTTGAGGCTTCTGCTATCATGCATTGGAGCGCATCATCGGTTATTTGAACCGTTCGAGGAGCAGAAGTGGCGGATCGGCAAGTGGTGGGTCCCGAGGGGGGATCACCTGAACCTTGCGAGGCGGATCCGAAGCACGTGGAGGAGGTGGCAAGCCAGAGCCTCCACGAATTGGGAGGTTGTTAGCTATGTCATTCTCTCTCCGAGCGGATGCCTCAGGAGGATCTTGCTGGCTACGTAATCTGGTTTGCATCGTTCCCACAGACGGCGCCAAAATGATGATGCTAATTACTTAGATCACTTGGGGTAGTGTAAAAAACGAATAGGGAGAGCAAAGCGGATCAGTAGCTTGACAACTTGATGATCCTGAGGTCCCTCCGAAATAAACACACGTGAACTAAGCCGGGGGTTGATCCGGTGGAAACCCCTCCGACACTCAAGTCAGATGTACGGATCCTGGAGATGGTAGAGAGAATAAAATTCTAGCTTGCTTGTGAATAATAGAACGTACCTTAACAAATGAGTAAAAACCTCTATTTATATGTCGTCGATTGGGTTGGATTTACTTAATTGGGCCCAAACCTTATTTTGAAGGTGGCTGGGCTTTCGTGTAGTGGGTCCAATTATTAGACAAATTAGGGGCCCATTGGGTCGGCCCAATTAAGTATATCAATATCATTTAACACGTTTGATTGGTTTTCCTTAATCATTCCCCAAAAATATTTTTCCACACTGATGTAATAACATGATTGAATTTTAAAAAAAAATCCCCATAAAAATATTCGGTGTCATCTTTTTTCTGCTTCCTCAGTATAGAATCAAAACAATATTCATTTTATTTTTTAATCTATTCCAATGCATTTTGATCTTTTAAATGTCTGCACTTTAAAGAATCTACTTTCCCGTTTTCGTATATATTTAATCAAACTGAAGCAAATCAAGATGTTTGTAATAACACGGGACAATGTCGAACTACAATAAAGAATAATATCGCCCAATCTTTTTTATTTATAAGAACTCATTTTTGAATTATTCACTTAAATTAATTTTATAAAATTGTTCTTTTCATTAATATATAATAACTATATAACAAAATGGAAAAAAAATATTATTAATTTAATTTTTCATAGATTTTATTTTAATAATATACAACTAAATTCTAAAAATTATCATTCTTTAATTTATTAATTCTTATTAACTTTTTTATTTTGTTTAAATACTCTACATCAAATGAAGAGCAAATTAAATCCCACTTTGCAAGATAAGATAATAAAATTTCTCGAGATAAGTTGATCATTATTGTTATTTTTAATGTTTAATTAGCTAAAAGCTGTAAATATCGATGGTGATTGATTATTTTCCTAACAAAATTAAAAGTACTGGTCATATCTACATTTTTTTATTTCCGCTAACAATGATTTTTTTAATAGTTGAACCACTATAATCGCAAAATTAGTGCTTATTATTTGAATTAGATGACTATGATGAGCACTACATAATATTATTGTTAAACAAAAAGCTTATATAAGGAAACGATTACCATCTTCACAATTCTTGGAAGATATTCTAAATTTATATTTATATCAATTATCTTTTGTTGGTTCACATGATTTTTTATTCGGTGTAACTTTTTGTATATAACACATTCTTTGTGTAAAATCGACAACGAAGAGGTGCGATAAAATCTTTAAAATTATGTTAAATATATATTATATTTATATTTTTACAGATATTGTGGAAATAATTTATTATTTTATAAATTTTAAACGCATGTTTCATTTTAATGGGTACATTAGTTTACTATATAGATATGTGCATGCATGTCAAATCATATATGCATATCTTATTATTCCTAAATACCTCTTTTCAAGTTAATACAATTAAATTCTTCAATACAATAAAATATAATAGGTTTTTAATCACTTCGAGCTATGGTTATTACTGACATTTAGTTTTTAATTATATAAGAAGTCTATGATAATCTAAAATTACGTCAGTAATATTATTTATTCCATGTTGAAAAAAACGGCATCAAAGTTTTCTTACTCAATAACACAATAATAATTGAATATCGCACTAAAAAAATTCAAACAATTAAAGGCAAGGCCAAAATTCCATAAATATCCTTTTTCAGGCTAGAGGTAATTAATTAATGTGATTGTAATATGTCTTATGTATTCTTGAAGTATTGGCATTAATATTATGGGTCTATTAGATATAACCCCCTTAAACATTCAAATAATAGGGGTAGATCCAAATTTAAATTTGCCATTTTGATAAAAGCCCAAGTTTTTCGTAATTACATAATTACCCTCAATCAAATCCCACAAATCCCGTTATTAGTATTAGTATTAGTATTAGTATTAGTATTAGTATTAGTATTAGTGTTAGTGTTAGTGTTAGTGTTAGTGTTAGTGTTAGTCTTCGTGTTCGTGTTAGTATTAGTATGTATAACAATATTAGTTTAAATAGTAGTATCAATGTTAGTATTAGTATTAGTATATTAATATTAGTTTTAATATCAATATCAATATTAGTATCAATTATTAGAAGTGACATTGACAATTATACGTCACAATACTTTATATACACTTTAGGTATGTCGAGTTTTAATTGCAACGAGTAGAATTTTGCAAACGATAATCGAGTATGTTTGTTTTGCAAGGTAATTCTATGCAGACATTCTTCGTTTATTGTTTATTTATTTATTTTTATTTAAGTAGTGTTTGAACTTATACATTGAAAATGATTAAGAATAACAAGTTATTCATCCTATAACGGTAGATTTGACTGTGGCTTCATGTTCTATTGTACCAACATTCAGATCAATGTGCAAGAGTGGTGCATTGCTTTAATTGCAGTTTTGGAGTTGGTTGTGGCATTTCGACGTGGACGATGTAAAGCATCGAGGCAAGACATCGTATATGCTACGATCAATTCATCACAATTGTGGAGAGAATGTCGTGTCATGAGGTTGCACAAGAACATGAGGCTTCAGTCGGATGCATCTTCATCTAATGAAGATGAAATAAGAGAATTTTCCGAATGGATTCTGAGAATTGAAAACGGAGAAGCTGGAGACTACAACGATGGTGAAGCCTCGATTGAAATTCCTGAGGACATGCTGATTCGAGATTCGGAGGATGCTTTTTTCAGAGCTACTGCAGTTCGTGTATCCGGGTTTATTAAATAACATTGTCAATCCTGATTTCTTTCAGGGTTGGGCCATTATGGGGCCTACAAATGAGAGTGTTATATGTGTAAACGATTATCTGTCGTCACTAATTGAAGAAGATGAAAATGTTTAAGCTCTGATAGTCTGTGTGTGGACGAAGCAGGTTCTGAGATTAATGCAGAAATTTATTTCACCAAGTTTCTCAATACAATATTGTGCTCCGGTCTGCTCTCGCATGAGCTGAAACTAAAGAAAGGCGTTCATGTCATGCTCATTAGGAATATCGATCAAGCAAGAGGTTTGTGCAATAGAACTCGTCTCCAAGTTGAAAGACTGGGCATGCATGTAATTACTTGCAAGGTATTGTCCGGTAAGTATGTTGGCGACATGGTATTTATTCCTCGGATGACTTTGATGCCTTCGAATTCCACATTACCAGTTAAATTTTAAAGACTATAATATCCGGTGATTATATCATTTTCCATGACAATCAACAAAAGTCAAAGCAAAACTCTCTCGCACGTTGGATTGTACCTTCCAATGCCTGTTTTCAGTCACGGTCAATTGTACGTAGCGTTGCGTCGAGTGGAGAGTAGATATGGAATAAAGATTTTAATCAAGGGCGAATTCGGTGAGTTGTTCAGTGTTACTAGCAACGTTGTGTACAAAGAAGTATTCGAAAGAACATAAAGGTACACATTGGCAAACATATATATCGGTTTTCTTTATGTTTAACGTTGTTTTTTCTCAATACGCTCACACACACACACACACACACACACACACACACACACACATATATATATATATATATATATATATATATATATATATATATATATATATATATATATATATATCAGTATTCTTTATCTACGTAATGTCTTCAACTTATATATTGAAAATGATGAAAAATAACGAGTTATTTGTCCTCTTATCATATATCTGATTGTAGTTTCGTTGTCTCCTATAACAACATTTCAGATTCATGTGCAAGACCGGTGCATTGCTTTGATTTCAGTATGGGAGTTATTTGCTACATTTCAACGTGAATGGTTTTTAGAACGTTGTTAATTTCTTTTTTATGCAGATTTTTTATTGATTGATTAAGATACGAATTTTTATTTTTTTGTTCGATTGTATTCTTAACATTCTCGACATATTTTTTTCGTTGGTTTTATACATTAAGTCATTTTGATGTTTTTAATTCATCCCCGTGCATCGCACGGGTGAGTTACTAGTTTAATAAATAACATCTAATTGTTGTAGGACCAATTAATCGAATATATTCATATCGATAAATTTTAAGAAATCAATACATAATTAATAGTAATTTTAAGTATTTATTATTAGAGTATATTATATTATTAGATATTATAGGATATTAGGATTCTATTATGATTCGGTTACCTAGATTAGTTAGAATTTAGTTATCTAGTCGAACTCTATTATCTTGCAATATTTCTCTATATATATTCCATGTAATCAACCCATAACATAATGGGGGTTTCTATTACGTATTATTATTTCTCTCCTTCTCCTATTATATTCTTCCTATCTGGTATCAGAGCACCAAGTTTTTTAAACTAGTCGCCTTTCTTCTCCATGGCGGCGCACCCAATTTTCTCCCTCCCCCGGTGGTGGTACTCTAATATTTTTCTTTTTCTATTTTTTTCTTTTCTTCCATAAACACCACCCGTATTTTCTCCCTCCCCGGTGGTACATCATCTCTATCTTTATCAGTTCTTCTTATTATCCGACATCTTCTTCTTCGATTTCGGGGGTTTTTTGTCCAGTCTTCACGTTTGAAGTTTATTCGTTCCGACTGCGGGAGCGTGTTAGCAAGGGGTTGTCCAGTCTTCACGTTCGTCACGTTTCGACTGCGGGAGCATATTAGAGTATATTATATTATTAGATATTATAGGATATTAGGATTCTATTATGATTCGGTTACCTAGATTAGTTAGAATTTAGTTACCTAGTCAAACTCTATTATCTTGCAATATTTCTCTATATATATTCCATGTAATCAACCCATAACATAATGGGGGTTTCTATTATATTACGTATTATTATTTCTCTCTTTCTCCTATTCTATTCTTCCTATATTTATATTTATTGGTTCATTAATTTCTTAAAATATATTTTTCATTCATTATTATACAATATATATTACTTTCTAATTATTTTCTAATAATTTAATTTTAGTTACTTTTATTTTTATGTGATCCAATAAATATTAGAATGTTATGTTTATTATGTATTAAATTTTAAAATATAGAATAATTGATGTTGAGGGGGTAAGTGTTACATATGTTATACTTCACCGATGCAAAGTGTATTTAATCCTAATTGTTATTATCATGTATTAAACTAATTATCAATTTTATTTGAAATACTATCCCGTGCATCTCACGAGAGAAAATGCTAGTATATATTAACATAAATAAATAATTTAATTTTAAATCACCATGTGTATGTACATAAATAGGTCATCTCACGTAAAAGAATTGACACAACATTCCAAGTTTTCTGAGGTATATAACATAAGAATCTCATGATCAAGAAAGAATGATGAAGTGGTGGAAGAAAAAGGCAAGTACCACCGCCACAAGTCCGCTAGTCATGGAGCTCGAACGGGCGGCACCACTTCCTGGAAATGGCTTCGCAGTTTCGGATGGTGGTGATGGTGGAGGTGAAACCGAGATACGAGTTCTATTTCCGACCGGATCAAATACAGGCAAGGTATTGGACGGGATCGAATCATAGCCTGAGATTGATTAAAGAGTTTTGTGCAACTTCAAATTGACTTTCCATTAATAAAAATTAAAGAGTGAATTGCATTTACTATCCCTGTGAAATTTGCAACTGCACGATTCCCCCTGTCATAAAATAAATAGCAAACACCCCACTATATAATGAATCGTGCAGTTGCGGATTTCGTGCAGTTGCGGATTTCACGGAGGTAGTAAATACAATTCACTCAAAACTAAAAAATAAAATTAAAGAGATCGAAACCAACTCACAGTTAGCTTCTTTCCAACCCAAAACCATCTCCTCGCGATCAAAGACCAGGCGGTACCCCGTCATAAAATTTTCTGTCAAGAAATAATCAAGATTTTACTAATATAGAAAATCCATGTAAAAAAATGTAGCAAATCGCAAATTGCAACTAATTGATATATAATTCAAATACTCACGTCCGATGATGTTAATATCCTCGCTTTTGACGATAGCAAGACAATATACCAATCCCCCCTACATATCAATAAATAAATGTTAGCATTTGATTTTTCTTTATTTTTCTGATGGAATTCTCTCATGCATTATTCATGCAAAAATTTCTGACCTCTATTCGGAACACGATTGTTGTTGCGGTAACATAAAATTTGCCTCCACCGTTCATCGTAAATGTCAAATCTGGAATGATGTAACTTTTTTGAGTTGCACTGCAGATAATTATATATATAAACCATGAGACAAACAATAATTCATGACAAATAATACAATCTTAAATAAATAAATAAATAAATGTTTAATTTGTTGCCAAATTAAACATACCTGAGTGTATAGCAATAGTCGAAAATAATCTTCCTCGGAGGTACATAACGTGGCTCGGTTATTTGAGCATTGAACTGCAAAAGAAAGAAAGTTAATTAGAATCAAGACTTTTACACGACAAACTTGCAATACAACAACATTATGTAACTAACTTACGCCTTGTGCGATAACCGAGTAAGCTGGATCATTCAAGTACGCAAATGACGTGCCGGTGTCGAAGATTGCTGAGAACTCTATATCCGTCACATTTTTCTCCACAGCAATTTGCTTCACAGTGACATTATAAGTTGGACTGCCAAAACAAATCGTAAAAAATTAATGAAAATGAAAACAAAAAAGGTTACGGAGTTTGTACATATATATATATATATATATATATATATATATATATATATATATATATATATATATACACTAGCTTTGACGCTTACTATGATTGTCGAAGATTAAACGGAGTTACTTGTTGGTCTGCACTCCCTTTATCTCCAAATTCAATTCTTCCAACTCCCTCGGGATCAAAACACATGGAGAACGAATTAGACGTAAAACCTTTGCTAGCTAAAATGCTAGGCACAGATATATTGTCCATACCAAGTCCAAATAGACCATTTATGGCAGCACCTTCCAAAAAATCACCCGTTTGAATTATTCCACATCTGAAACCCGAAAAAAAAAAAAAATCAAGCAAGGGTTTATTGCATTTAGCACCCCTATATTTACTCTAATTGTCGAAAAAGTTCCGGTGTGGAAAAAGAAAGCACCCTCACCCTAATGTAATAGGAGCATCGACAGGGTCTTGTGGATCGGTATCTGTACCCAAATGCAAAACATCATCGACTAATATTCCAGTGGTTGAGGTGTTGGCGGAGAGGTACACTTCTTGGTAAGCACAAGCATTTAGCCGAATAGAGCATCTTCTTTGTGGTCGTACACAAATAGTGCTATTGCATGGAACTGGCGCACTAGTTGTCGATGTACTAGGACTGTATATGTTTAGCTTCACCGACTGTTGCATTGAAATTCAATTAAGAATGATATAGATAAGAGATCGATAATATTGTAGAAGAATTATTACTATTTAAACTTAATACCTTTCCCCGGGTAACGTTGAAGCTACGTGCGCAGTTAGTACAGTCGCATGGTAACCAGAATAGGTCACTGCCGGTGTCGAGTGCCACAAGATATTCCACAGGAGGGGTACCCACGGTAACAACTGAATAGTGCAAGCTGCAAATAAGCAAGAGAGGCATAGTATATATGGTGTCTAATTGTGGAGTAAACTGCAAAAAGTACCATTGCATGTGTAATCTCCAAATAGCGAAAACCCCTTTGTGATAAATAAATTAGTAAAAAAAACCCTGTGAAATTTAGTAAAAGGCGGAAACCCGCTTGGTTGACTTTCGTGTGGCTCACTCATTGGATGTGCGACTGGTAACTGGTTTTTAGATATGAAATGATGAAATTGTCCCTCAAAATGTATTTATATGTAATTTGATTAATTTCTCATAAATTCTTGGGCGAACCCTAATCCCCATCGATTCCCACCTTCAATCTCAAAATGTATTAATATGGAATTTTTTTGGGGTTGTTCCTGGGTTCTGTTGAATCAAAACGAGCTTGAAGCTCAAATATTTCCCCCTTCTTTTTATTTTTGGGATCTGGATAAAATGAAATTAATGGTGGTGGTGGAGCTTGATGCAAGACTTTTGTTTATCAACTTTTTTTTTGTAATATGTATATATATTATATTATATATATTTTCTTTTTAATTTGATTGTTTAGAAATTAAAATATTATTAAAAAAATTAGTAAATAATTAAAACAAAATATTATTAAAAATTTGGTAATTAGATTAAGAATAGATTTTTTTTAAATACAAAATAAAGAAATACATAATAATGGAATTTAAATTTTCTTGTAGGAAACTAAGAATAATTTAAAATATATATATAAATTATTTGATAATAAAAATAGAATTAAAAGACCATATTGTACTTTTTGAATTAAGACATAATAAAACTAAAATAGTTAAAATATTTATAAAATATAAGAATATATTAATTGCAAAACTCCTGGGACATTTGTGTCTTTTTATGTTAGGTCAACACTCAAATGAATAATGGATCAAGTGTGCTATATAAATAATTTCTTTGGAGGATTCTTGCAAGTTTATTTATCATTCGGGAGAAGAGAGATGAGAGTGTTTCGCTATTGGAGATTACACGTGTGTACTTGCTTTTACTCTCTTATCGTGTGTAAGTATGAATGTTGCAAAAGCTATTCGATTACACTTATTATCACTAGGGTAAATTACAACCACCCCTGAGGTATGGTCAAATTACGAAAACTCTCTCTTGTTTGAGTAATTACAACCACCCCTCTCAACTATAATCTTCTTACACGTCCACCTTTACGGTTTCAAATTAGTGGAATTTTCGAGATTATATGGAATATTATCACTTTTGTACCCGTTTTATCCCATTCGAACTCCACATTTTGAAGCAAGATGATCATAATATGTGTTTTTTAGTTTGTATATACCAGATTGGTGCATCAGAAACTGTATTTTTACACAAAACGAGTACAAACTAGAGCACATTCCACGAAATCTAGATGATTATGTTGAATTTGACACAATAAGGGTGGAGGTGTAAGAAAAAATTATAGTTGAGGGGAGTAGATATAATTATCCAAACAAGAGGAATTTTTTCGTAAATTAACCATACCTCAGAGGGTGGTTGTAATTTACCCTTATCATACTCTATAGTAATCGGGACAGGGTTATATCGCAGATTTGTCCAATAATCAAACAAACATACAATATTCATTGAATCATCAAATTTACACTCCATGCTTGTATTTTGAAGTCAGAATTAGGGCTGAGCAAGAGTCGGGCTGGTTATAATTATCGACCAGTTACATACTTGACCTGACCAACCGACTTTACTAAATACTGAAAATCATTATCGGTTCGACCAGTGTGAGCCGGATAATAGTTGGTAACCGACTTTGCCGGCTAAAAAATGGGTTAGTTGCTAAAAAATGGGTTAGTTGCTTCGTATTATCGCCATCTAATTATATAAGTAAAAGAACATGAAATAGGAATTATAAAATAAAAATGAGCACTTAAAGGTCTATAAATTTGTGTTTTGATTTTTTTAGTTTTGATTTCCTTTATATATTATTTGAACTTTTAGTTTTTGCTTATTTCCTAAAATTTATTGTCATAATTTTGTTGAAGTAATTACAATTAAATATTTTTAATAAATTTCTGTTATTAAAAAAGTCGGTTGATCGGTAATAATCAGCCAACCGACTTTTGAGTAAAACTAAAAACCACCAACCGATACATTGGGTTCGTTAAAATTATCGGGCGACTATATGGCCGGTTAATTATTGATTATTGGTCATGCCATAAAAAATGAGTCGAAAGTAGGTCGGTTGACCATGGTGGAACATAGGTTGATCTCTCTTTAATACTCAAGATTAAAACAACTAGTAAAGATAATGAACAAACTTACAATCCGAGAGAGGGTATCTGCAAAGTTTCGTTGCCACCAAAGAAAGTGATGGGTGGGTTGGTGGTGGTGGTGGCAAGGCGGCGGCCCTTCAAGAGGTGATCGCGGTGGGCCATGGCAGTGTAGTAGTCAACCGTACCCTTCTCCGGTAACCCATCCAGGTTCAAGAATTCCTTAACGGTGTCGGAATATCTGTGGTGGATATCGAATCCGAAAGTCGTCCCAAATGCTTCGCCGCTCTTCGCATTAAACCAACACGCAAACGCTATTAGAATCAAACAACTCCCAAATACCGATTCCTTAAAACACATCATCATTAATTACTATACGGACTAAATGAATCCAAACAAAAAGACAGAGAATATCTCTTTTACATATATATTATATGTAAATGAAGATAATGCAAGGAAATGGCAAAAAAAAAAAAAGAAGAGAATTAAAGAGTTGTACCTGTCGACTTAGTCAAGTCAAATACATGGAGGGGGGAGAGTAGAGAGAGAGGGGAAGAGAAGATGACGCAATCATTGTCGTCATCATCATCATCATCGTACATTAAATTGTTTGTGGAGGTCAAGAATTTCAATTTAATCCTTCCATTTGTAAATCCGAGTCTATATATTTATTCAGCCGGCAGCAGCTAGCCCATAAAACCAGATTATGAAGTGTTTGATTTTATTAAATTATTTGCATTTAAGTTACCTTTTTTTTTAAATAATTTTTTTTATCCAATTTCATTTAATATACAAAAAATAAATAAAACAAAACAAATAATAAATAAAAGAAAACTAAAAAGTAGAGAAAATTGTGTGAATATATTTTATTCTTAGTGTCCCTGCAAAATTTGATTTTATGGGATGCATCATAAAAGTGTTGTAACAATTTTTTTATGAGACATTTAATGAATAGTATCCCAAATAAGTGTCACAATAAATACTTTTTGTTGTATAGGAAATAAGGCTTTGTACAACCTAAACCTGGTGTAATACATCGTGTGGTTTTAAATCGTAGATCTACACATGATAACATACACCCATGTGTATGTGTGCTTAGTGATTAATTACTTATATTGCTCTACGGCTTAAAACCACATGGTGTATTTCACCAGGCGTAGGATCTCAAAAGCCTAGGAAATAACATATTGTCCACCTCTGATTCAGAAGGGAAGAATTTGCATCAATATCTCATTATTATCGTTCTAATTCATGCTTCGTGTTCTGATACATATTTACCGTCCAATAGTATTAAATGATACATTTGACTAACAACTTAAACTTATAGTAGAAGTGGTCATTCAACATGGAATCAGAGGCAAATCAAATGAAATATACTGAGTCCGAATCTCACTGCCACCCATTTCAAATATTAAAAATATTTCAAATATTTGGGGTGATGTCATTTTCGAAAGAGATTGTCTTCCAACTATCCAAGCTTTCTACCGAGGAGAAGCGAAATACGCGTCTTTTGGAGCTCTTATTGAAGATGGGATTAACATAGCTAAATGTTTTCATTCTTGTTTCTTTCATTTTGTGAAACATTCGGGTAATTGTCATGCCCATGCTATAGTGAAGCTTGATTGTACCGAATATTTGGAAGGGACTACTCTTCCCCTGGTCTTGGCTAATGTAGCCTAATACTATGCTTCTGTTAACAAAAAAAAAAGTGCAATGCTTCAAATATAATTCATTTTTATTTGATGGGACGTATTGGAGATATTAATATTAAATGATAAAATTTGACGATGAAATACAATCATAAGTGGCAAATGGTGATTGATTGATTGATGATGGAGAAAAATAATTCCTTGTTTAGTTCTCCACCTTAACGAGAAAAGATTGATTAAATTCGATTGAGTCATGACATACGAATTTGATGTGATATGCAATCTTGTGGTTTACAAATAACTACAGTACAATGAAAGTTTATTTAGTTCACCTATATAGTTGATGCACGTTTAATTTATACATTACAAATCGAATTATTCAAATACATGTATTTGAATAATTCGATTTCGAATAAATGTATATCCTTTTTCTTAATATGTACGCATTATTTATTTATTTATAATATGTATTTTCACGGTTTAGTGGGTCATTAGACCCCACTCGAGCTGTTACAATCTCGATCTATAAAATAGAGTTTACTATATCTTCGTTCATGGTTGTTGTGTTAAATGTACTAAATAAAGAATATAAACAGTTTGCCACTTATATTACTAATCAATAATTCTTTCAAAAACTAAAAACAAGAGAATTCTTTTAACAAAGTAAACTCGCCAATCACTGTTGTTCTATGTGCCACGAAAACTTCAACTTCTTAAGGTTTTTGTATTTCGAATCATTTTGCGTCGGACATTTGAGGACACATGCCGGACACTTTATGGGTCATTTTGGAATTTCTAAAAAGTTAGGAATCTGTTTGAAAAGTAATTTCAAATAATTTACACAATTTAATGATCAATTGTAAATTGATAGTTGATAGTGAAATTTATTTTGAATATATGTCTGTATCATAAAAAAAAGTTATATAAATAAAAACTTATATATATTTATATAGCATATATAAATATATCCCTATAACTTTAATATTTACATATTTCCCTCAATCTCCTGTATCCCCATTTTTGGAATAAGCAGTATTTCCTTGTCGTCCGTTCCGTGTGAGTGCTACATAGTTGTCCTTTCATCTATTGGTTTCGATTAAAATAAAAAGCAAGCCAAATGATATTTTGTGCTTTGAGGAAATTATATATTCCCTAAGAGCAACTCCAATGGCGTTATGAAATATGATATTCAAACCACTCATCACCATTACATACAAAAAAATAGATTTTTTTTTAACTCCAATGGGTTATCAAATGAGGGTTATATTTTGGTAATTCACCTCTTGGCATTTAAATATACTTGCTGGAAATTGAGTTATATAAAATGTAAGTATGTAAATATTCAATCACAAATTGACATGTGACAATTATAAATAAAATCACTCATAAACTCTCAATTAATAATTAATTTGATAACTATGATAGGAAAAGATGAATTTTAATCAATATTAAAATATTATCTCAAATATCAAATGAATATTTGATAATTCAATTTTGATATTTACCGTTGAAATGCTCTTATTACTGCCAGACATCAATTTTTAAATAATTTAATTATAAAAATTATTATATTTATAATTAGTGGTCGCCAGTATTTTCAGGTGGACTAGAAGTATGAAGCGTCCTCAATTGTTTTTAGGTTTTAGCATAACATAAATACATATATAACAATGATTGAAATAGTTACATTAAGGCCAAATGACAAAAAGAGGCATGACTAGAAACTTAAATGTATATTGGTTCATAAAAAAAAAATAGTCTTTTAAATAAACTCATCCCAACGTCTTTAGTCTAAAATACCTTCAATAATATATTTTTTATCAATTTTATTCATTATACTCTAACTTCCTTAATATTACACGTTGACCCCGGATTTAAACAAATATATAACATTAACCCTCATTTTAATAATTTTTTGAAAAAATAATTATTTTTTCAGAAAATAATTTTTTTTCTGAATTTTTTTTTCCGGTGTTGACCTTTTTTTTTCCAGAAATTTGTTTCCAGCCGGTCAACCACCGTTGACCGCCGCCGGTCTCCAGCGTTGACTTTTATTTTTTTTTGAAATTTTGTGTTTTCTTAGAAAATAATATTTTAATTAATATTACTCTCTTGGCTCCTAAATTACTGTCTCAGACAGTAATATTACTGTTTGGGACAGTAATACTATGAATATTATTTTTTCGAACAATAATTTTACTAATATTACTTTCCCAAATAGTAATATTTTTGCATGAGACAGTAATATTACGGTCAGTGACAGTAATATTACAGTCGAAGATAGCAAAAATGAATGCCAAGACGATAAAATTAATTAATACAGTAATATTAATCTCTCTGACAGGTAAATTACTGTTAGAGACAGTTATTTAGCAGTCAAGACAGTAATATTAATTAAAACAATTTTTTTAAGAGAAAAACCGAATTTCAAAAAAAAAGTCAATTAACAGGTAAATTACTGTCTCCAACAGTTAAATAAATGCTGGAGACAGTAATTTAGCAGCCAAGACAGTAATATTAATTAATTTTTTTTTTTAAAAGTCAATTGGTAGTTAAATTACTGTCTCCGACAGTTAAATAACAGCTGAAGACAGTAATTTAGCAGCCAAGACAATAATATTAAGTAAAATATTTTTTTAAGAAAAAACAAATTTAAAAAAAAAATTAAAAAAAAAATCAACGCCGGAGACTCAGCAGTCAACGGCAGTTGACCTACCAGAAAAAGATATTAAAAAAAGTCAACGGCGGCTGACCGGCGGTCTCTGGTGGTGGCGGATCAAAATTGGGGTCAAAATTAATAAATTGGTGAAATTTGGCTAAATTGGAGTGTAAATCATGAAATTGAAGTTGAATTGAGTTACAAGGAATTGAGAGTAATTTTGGTATATATAAAAGGGTTTTCCTTATTTGCAAATAAGTTTGAATGAAATGAAAATATTTAAATGTTAGATGTCCCTTTTTTAATTAAGTACCCTTGTCATGAGCCTTTTTGAAATTAACCCTTAAATCATATAAAGCAATATCCCAAATTATGATTATGTAAAGTACTTAAAATTGAACATGTTGATTTATATGCCTATAGAAATCAGTTGATCTAAGTTGTAACAGTTAAGTTGTGGAAACAGTATTCAGTTACAACTGTAAATCTTGTGTTGGCACAGTTATACTCTACTTAAAGTAAATAAACAGAACACAAGAATTAATGTGGTTCAGACACAATTGTGCCCTACATCCACGTGGACCTGCAAACACGATTTCACTAGTTCAGATTTATAGTGTACATTAATAGGACTTAATAAAAACACTAAAGACTCCCTCTTTATGTAATACGCCGTTCTTGCACACAACTCGAACTTCGTGTTTCTTCCAACAGCAGCTCCACACCGCGTGCCTAGAACTCCTTTCTGGCCTGAACACTCCCTTCAGTGACGCGGTTGATCTCTCGAGAGATCTATACAGCCAATCTGTATATGTTGACACATCCAACGATGGCACAGTTCTGTTCAACAGAACGTTTCAGCGATTCTTCAAAGCAATGGAGTGATTTTTCTCCCAACAAAAAGTGTCGCAGTCTTTGTGAGGTGAGGAGCCTTATATAGGCGTGAGATCGGCCTCCAAAGACCTGTCTTCCAAAGGAACCGAATAACTAGGAAACAGAATCCTAGTCAATATCTAGTTCTAATCTAGATAACTATAAAAGATTCTTAACAA